AAGAAGTAAGCAGTGTGGTACCGCTGGAGCTCAAATGAGTTTGAACCACTTAGCTTACTTCAGCAAATTATTAGTATGCTTCCTGCTACTTGCCCAACCAGGACCACCCCACTGATTAGGGTTTTTGCCTGCAGGCTAATTTGGAGCCAAGTAAGCAGAATCTCAGCACCTGTGACAGATGTACACCTCCAGGATCTACTATTAAGCTAAGTTGGCTAGTTGTTTATCAGCAATGTCCCAGACCTGGCTCAGATGTCAGACCACCCAAGTCTGCCATGAATGGTTTGGTGAGTTCTGAACTTGGAATCATGCTTTTCCTTTAAACTAAATATTATTTCCTTTCTCAATTATTATTTGATGCGAAGTGGGTGTCACTGGCAAGGCTAGTATTCATTGCCCACCCCCTTGTTGTCCCTTGAACTGAGTGGTTTGCCAAACTCTTTCAGAAGGCAGCTAACAGTTAACCACATTGCTGTGGGTCTGGAGTCACATGTAGTCACATGTAGGTAAAGATGGTAGATTTCCCTCCTTCAAGGTTGGTGAGCTTTTACAGCAAATTATTAAAATTCATAATCTCCATGATTGAAATTAGTTTTCAATTCCAGATTGTGAATTGGATTTAGGTTCCACCAGCTGAAGTGGTGGAATTTGATCCCACGTTCCCAGAGCATTAAACTGGTGCCTCTGGATTATGAGCCCAGTGATATTACCACACCACTACACCCTCACTCTTCCCTCTTACAGCTGTTTAATTTGAAAGATTACAAAAGGAAAAGACTTAATATTTATATTGCGCCTTTCACAACTACTGGATGTCTCAAAAGTGTTTTATAGTCAACGAATTACTTTTGAACTGAAGTCAGAGTGTAGGATCATCATGATAATTCCCTCAAATAAGGCTAATTAACTATAACAATCTTTCACTAATCTATTTCCTCACTCAAAAAAAAAAAATTCTTCCTTCACAGCCTAGAAGGCTTGCCTGGAAAAAACCGCATTTGCTCAAATGCGTGTAGCCTAAAGTGCAGCTTGCTAATTTGTAGGCAGGTCACCAGATTCAAAGTCCGCTCGTGAAATGTGGCATACGGTGACTGCTGTATGTGTATTCTACTAGATGTAATATAATAACACGACAAAGTTACTTTGATAGAATTACATCGTCCTGGGAGTTCCTGGAAGGAGAAGAGCACTAGTTCCCCTACAAATTACCTGCCATTCTGTTGCCAAGTGAATTGTTGCTTCTTCATCATCTCCACATCAAACTCCTGGAACTTCCCAACTAACACAACTGTGATAGCACCATCACCATAAGAACTGTGGCAGTTCAAGAGACTAACCATATATCACCTTCACAGGACACCAGCAACAAACCATGAACAAATGTGAAAACATCAAAACGACTGCCACAAAGTTTTAAAACTTTTCGATTGTGCAACACTCAAACTGATATTCAACGGAACTAAGAAAATAGCATCCTATCCAGAAACTTTAGGGTTTGTTTAAATTCAATCTAATAAGAACAGTGATAACAAATCTTGTGACTGAAGAAGCTGTACCCAGGTACCTGTGTCCCTAAGATGGCACTCTAAGTGCCAACTTATAAACTTTTCACAATACTCATTTGAATACACACGACAATAAAGCTAATTCAATTCAATAACTACAACAAACACAAATGTTGGACCACTTCCAGCCTTGGCATTTCTAAATTCATCAGGTGGCTTTGACAGCATTATTTATGTTGCGACAAAATAATCGTAGTTAACTTGTCAGGAGAGACAAAATAGTCATAATATAAGAATAAAGAAAAGGAAAATCTTGCCTTCATACTTTTTTTATTCATTGACAGGACGTAGACATCGCTGGCTAAGTCAGCATTTATTGCCCACCTCTAATTGCATCTTGATCTGAGTTGCTCACTAGGTGCATTTCTGAGGGCTGTTAAGAATCAACCACGTTCCTACGGCCTGAAATCACATGTAGGCCAGACTAGCCAAGGACAATATGTTTCCTCCCAAAAGGACAGTAGCAAATCAGCTTGGTTTTTAACAACAATGAACAATTTACCTGGCTGACATTATAACTCGAAATGTTTACTAAATTCATCTTCTACGGTAGTTCTGAACCCATGTCTCCAGCCGGAGATTCTGAGCCAATAGCCCAGTGACATTACTACTATGCCACTGCTTCCTCTTAATTTCAAATGCACTGGACTCTCCAAACTGCCTGATACCAATGCAACTGTTTTAGTTAGAAACTGTAACCGCAGACTTCAGTACAGCAAGGTCCCACAAACAGAAATAAGATACTGCACAGATCATCTGTAGTTGTTGGTTAACAGTTGAATGTTGGTTGGGACATTCGGAGAATTGTCCTTAAAATGTGTCTTTAAAATATTCAATCGAGCAAATACATGAAGAGGGCATTTCACTTAAAACAAATGATTTTTAAAATTTCAGTTCACTGGACAACAAAATGTCTGTTTCATCAAAAGCACAGCTTGCTTATAGTAAAAGTCTCGTTAGTAATGACAAAGATTAAAGATCGCCATTTGACATAAAGCAACCAGGTCAGAAAAACATAGCACAGTAACTATATACAACAAAATTTAAGTGCCTATAAATAAAAAAAACACCTAAAATATATTTTAGTTCATGACAGAAAACGGTTCACTGTTCAATATTTCAGATTGTTTCTCCTTTCCGATTAACGTTCAACATTACAATCTCTGAACAGAATTGGTGGAAAATAGCCTATTTTGAATCCCCAGTCACTTTCTGCCTTAAGAAACAAAACCATGCATATACCCTAAGATGGTAATCTGATATCCTGCGAGGCATAATCTGTGTTATTCTTCATTTTTTTCCAATGTCAGTTGTAGTTTAAAAGACCATTGTTTATCTCCCAACCTTATATATGTCTTGTCCCTAACGAGATTGCATTTCCAATGGAAAATTCAGCAGGGAACCTCTTTGTTGCCTTTTTTTTTGCTTTTGAAATGTTAACAACCAGTACTTTTCTGATTCCAGACCTTCAAGAAGTGCACAAATCACACGTGATTTAAGTTCTGCCTACCCTATCATACAAATGAGTAACATGTAAATGGGTTTCAGTGCCAGTGTGATACCAGATATTGTATGCCTGTAACTGCGCACAGCTGGCAGTGTGCCAACCGTGCTCAATGAGCCCATACTTGCTAAACTCAGAACATAAGATGTGATTCTGCAGTGGGCGGTGAAGGGGTGGGTAGTGGAGTGGTGGTGATAGGTGGACACTGGCAGTAGATACAATCTGGTTAGTCAATGGGAGGAATGAATCTGGTAATGGCTGGAAGGGCAGGTCAAAAGGTGGAAATGGAAGTGGAGCCAGGGAATGAGTGGGAAGGTTATTTTAAATTGGAGAACTCAATGTTGAGTCCTCCGGGTTGTAGGGTGCCCAGGCAGAAGATAATGTGTTGTTCTTCAAATTTGCGTTCTGAGTCGCTACAACACTGGAGGAAGCTGAGGGTGGACATGTTGGAGGGGGAGTGGGGCAGGGAGTTGAAATGGGCAGTGACTGGAAGGTTAGGTTGGCTGTTACAGGCCAGGTGGAGATGCTCAGCGAAAAGTTCACCTCGTCTACGTTTGGTCTCACTGACGTAGAGAAGACCACATCGGGAGAGCTGGATGCAATAGACTAGGTTAGAGGAGATGTAGGTGAAGCTCTGTCTCACTTGGAAGGGCAGTTTAGGGTCCTAAATGGAGTTGAGGGAGGTGATGTGTGGGCAGGTGTTGCATCTTTTACAGTTACAGGGGAAGGTACCGGGTGGGGTTGGAATGGTTGGTGGCTTCCAAGTGAGACAGAGCTTCACCTGCATCTCCTCCAACCTAGTCTATTGCATCTGGTGCTCCCGATGGGGTCTTCTCTACAAAGGTAAGACCAAATATAGACTAAGTGACCGTTTTGCCGAGCATCTTTGCCTGGCCTGTAACGGCCAACCTAACCTCCCAGTCACTGCCCATTTCAACTCCCTATCCCACTCCCCCTCCAACATGTCCACCCTCAGCTTCCTCCAGTGTTGTAGCGACTCAGAACGCAAATTTGAAGAACAACACCTTATCTTCCACCTGGACATCCTACAGATGGGAAGACTGAACATTGAGTTCTCCAATTTCAAATAACATTCCCACCCATCGCCCGGCTCCCCTTCCAGCTCCACCGCCTCCCTTCCATTCCATTCCACCTTCTGACCCTCCCTTCCAGCCTCCAACCTGATTCATCCTGCTCATTGACCAACCAGTCGTACCTACTATCAGTGTCCACCAATCACCACCATTCTGCCACCCCTCCCCCTTTATCTGCAGCTCCCCCTACCCCCACATCCAGTCCTGAAGAAAGCTAATACCCAAAACGTTGACTGCTCCTTTCCTCCAGATGCTGCCTGGCTTGCTCTGTTCTTGCAGCCTCCTGCTGGTCTATCTTGGATTCCAGCATCTGCAGTTTTTTTGTCTCTAACTAAGATTGACAGTTGGTAGTTCCTGCTACATCTCCGTGCCAACTACTGTCTCACCAATCAGCATCATGGTATTTAAATTATTTTTTCCTTTCGAAAGTTGGTTTTCTTGCATCTCAGTCTTGATGAGTTCAAAACAAAAACAACTTCTACTTTAAATCTCTTTTAGGCAATGTTTTGTTTCCTGTACTACAAAATGATTATTTGTTTGAAGTTCTTGAATAATTCTCACGTTCATGAGCAGCATAAATGCCAGCCCAGACTCGTCAGGCTGAATGGCCTGTTTCCATGCTGCAAATTCTTCCAAATCATGCCTTCTCAGATTTGCTGACAGAGGAACACTGTTAACCTGTTGGATACTATATACTACAGACCCATTTTTAATTTTAGTGTTCTTTATTTATATTTGTGCTTGTAGATCTTTATAACTGCTAGTATGTTGTAATTGTTTCATGAAGATAAAAATTGGAATGATAAGAAAGCAAATTAAATTTGAGTATGACATTACCTCTGTTGTTGGATCAACAAGCTCCAATTCATGCATATTGACCTGTATTAATTCCTGTAAGAGCTGAACTTGAGCTACACTGAGGAAGAAGTCTAGGCTTGTCGTAACATTGACTTCCAATGAATGGCCACACACTATAATTTCCTACAGAGACAAAAACATTATTATAAATATTTGATAAGCAATTCTATTTCCCATGTTATTCAATCACAAGTATTTCAAATAAGATGAAAATTAGCTTACATTTACAGATGAACATATACTGATTATATGTAACATGCAGAGAATTAAATACTGAATCCAAATCAACATCAGTCATGTGTTTTTTAATTCACTCACAGATGTTGCTGGATTGGCCTGCATTTATTGTCCATGTTCTGTTTTGCCCATTACTATCCATTTGCTGTAGGTCAGCACACAACGCTGCTGGGAAAGAATTCCAGGATTTTGACCCAGTTAACAGTGAAGGAATGATGATATACTTCCAAGTCAGGATCGTAAGCGGCTTGGAAGGGAACTTGCAGGTGGTGGTGTTCATGGATCTACAGTCCCTGTCCTCCCAGGTGGAAGTGTTCATGGGTTTGGAAGGTACTGTCTAAGGATCTTTGGTGAATTTGTGCACTGCAGCTTGCAACTGAGCAATGGTGATGGATGAAATGGATGTTTGTGCTTATGATGCCAATTGAGTAAGCTGTTCTGTCATGGATGCAATCAAGCTTTTTGAGGGTTTTGGAATTGCACACATCCAGGCAAGTCGGGAGTATTCTACCTCACTCCTCATTTATGCCTTGTAGATGGTTGACATGCTTTTGGGAGTCTGGAGGGGAGTTGCTTACAACGGCATTCCTAGCCTCTGACTGACTCTTGTAGCCACTGCATTTATATGGCAAATCCAGTTCAGTTTCTGGTCAATGGTAACCCACAGGATATTGATATTGGGGGATTCAGTGATGATAATGCCATTGAATTTCAAGGGGTGATGATTAGATTGATTCTTACCAAAAATGGTCATTGCCTGGCATTATGTGCCACAAATGTGACTTGCCACTTGCCAACCTGAATTGACAGCAGGTTTTGTCAGACTTCATCATTAAATTTATTCAGCCCTCAAATCTGTTTAGCTATTTAATTACACTGTAGTGGGTCTGTATCTCAGTCCTGTCCACCCACCTTTGTTCCATTTCCATTAATACCTCTGCCTAACAAAAATCAATTAACCTTAGTTTTAGAATTCTCAATTGGACACCTTCAACCAAATTTCTACTCCTCTTTGTGGTAAATTTCCATCATTACAAGAGAAAAAAGATGCCTTCTAAACTGAATTGAACGCAGAGACGAATGCACCAAACAGCTAAAACAGCACTGACAATAATGCAACTTATTCAAAATGGAAACAAAGTGAAGAGAAAGGAAGTTCAAAACAATTTTCAGCAATCGTCAAATCGAGATCACTTTGGATGACAAATGCACTGCTTTATCACTACTGAGATCGCATATTTATTAAAATTCTTTATCACTGACCTCAGTCTGTGTATTCTCTGGCGAGACCTGTTTGGTGAAAAGAATAGCAGGGGCAGCTGTTATTCGAACACTGAAATCTGTCAAAACTGGGGTTAAAATTGCTCTTCGTTCTTGGTGACGTCTAATGCTGCAAAAAAAGACAAATAAAATTGGCACACTGTTAGTCCTATGTTTTACAGCTTATAGTCCAGATACCCCAGCTGGCAAAATCATACAATGCCTCAGTTCATTTCCAAAAAATGAAATCACAGGTAAGTCATTTAAACTCCCATTCATCATATTTGATTTGATTTATTATTGTCACATGTACTGAGATACAGTGAAAAGTATTGCTTTGCGTGCTCACCAGATAAATTATACCTTAAAAAATTGAATCAGAGTAATAAAACAGAATGCAAAATGTCATGTTATTGCTACAGTGAAGGCAGTGAAAGATCTAAGATATGTATGAGGTCCATTTATAGGTCTGATAACAGCAGGAAAGAAGCTGTTCTTAAATCTGTTGGTACATGTTTTTAAACTTTTGTATCTTCTGCCTGATGCAAGAGGGTGAAAGAGAATATAGCCAGGGTGGAAAGGGTCTTTGATTATGTAGGCTGCTTCCCCAAAGCAGCAGGAGTCAACCGAAGGGACACTGGTTTCCATGATTAACTGCGCTGCATTCACAACTCTCTAATTTCTTGCTGTCTTGGCCAGAGAAGTTGCATATAAGCAAATGGTAGTGGGGAGGAGGTACCAGTAGGGGTAGGGGACGGAAATATTTCTATTAAACACACTGATATCCATTTTTCTTAATCATTGTATAGAATTGAGACATTAAAAAAAGACCCATAGATCCATAGTTGATAATCCAGTGTTGGGGAATTGTACACAAGTTATGCCATCCACTTGGCAAATAGAGTTACATGGTCAGCCCTCACAGTGGAAATGTTTACTGTGAGATTGGGAGAGGAAGGTTCTTTTTCTTGCCAAAACATATCCATGCTTGCCTACGTCTCCGTCATTACCTGGATTCATCTCTGCTGAAATTTAGTAACTGTTCATTTTTTCAACTATAGTAGTCTAATTTTTCCAACACTGAATTTTCATCTACTGAGTTTGCAACTTGGAAAGTGTTTTTAAACAAAAAGGCTCTTGTAGTTAATGACAGTGTGAAGTGCTGGGTCAGGGAGGTGTTAATGTTCCATTGAATGCTTATGGCCAGTCCTTTTTATTCTAAAAGGCCACTTCAATTAATCAGCTATCATCATTAGTAGTGGGTACCACCAGATTCGTGTAGACATTCCGAACACATATTATCAGCAAAGCGGTGCACAACTTAGTTTGCTAATCCCAGCTTCATGGCTGGATTTCCAAGGATCCTTGCCTCATAAGATTTGAATTAGTTGACTTAAATTTCATGTAAATTTAGCTGATGATGTAAAAACAGATCTTTCCTTACATCCGCAAAATGGAATCTAAGATCTATTTCTGAAACGCGAGGGGGGCTTGGTAAAAGGTGGGAATTGTGACTTTGAACACTGAGATCCCCTTAGGGAGGAACTTAGAAGGAGGCCCGAGTCCAGCCCTATCCTTATGCCAAGGCAAATAGGGTTGGTTCACATGAAGCTTACGAACTCTCCTTGCTGAATAAAAACTGAAAGAATTGCGGATGCTATAGATCAGAGGCAAAGATTGAAATTACTGGAAAAGCTCAGCAGGTCCGGCATCTGTGGAGAGAGTCAGAGTTAACTTTTCATATTGAGTCACCCATCCTCAGAAAGGTTCTAAGACAGAAGATACAGAAGCCCAAATGCACGCACAAGCAGGTTCAGGAACAGCTTCTTTCTGGCCGTTATCAGACTGTTAAATGGACTCAAGCCTCAAATAACTTAACCTGCAAACCTCTAAGTCTTTTTGATCTGTACATCCTTTGCTTGCTGTGATCTGCCTGTACCGCTTGTAAACAAAGCTTTTCACTGTATTTCGGTACATGTGGCAATAAATCAATCAAAATCACTGAGCCACCATGCTGCCCATCAGGTAAATTACACTTCAAACCAGTGGGAGGGGCAAAGAGGAGAGAAATAGAGGGGAAATAATTTGCATTTGCATGGCATTTTCCACAAACTTGGAATGCCACAGAGCACTTCACCCCAAGTCAAACACTTTTGACACGCAGTCACTACTGTGATACAAGGAAAATTGTTAACTTGCACCACTTAGTTCCAAAAAAGAACAGTGAGAAAATCAGTGCTGTCAAAAACAGGTTAAGATATAAAAGCTGGCCAAAACATGAGACATCTCCCCATCTTTATAGATATTTTCTATCAACCCGTTCAGTTATATTATTACACATCTCTGGAGCAGGTAGGACATAAAACAGGGCCTCATGGCCGAGAGGCAGGAACTCTACCACTGTGCCACAAGAGCCCGCTCCCCTCCTTTTTCTGGAACCATGAGAGAGAAAGGGACATAAAAGAAAAGAAACACTTCATTCCTTTCTGAATCTAGGGAGCAAAATACTCAAGCTTTAACCTCCCCGATGGGTGAAAGAGTGATTCTGTAAATACAGAAGTAACTTCAGAGTAACTGTCCAAGCAGTCTATAAAAACATGAGTTGCTGGAGAAGCTCGGCATGTCTGGCAGCATCTGTAAATAGAAATCAGAGTTAATGCTTCGATTCTGGTGACCCTTCTTCAGAGCTCAAAGTGCAAGATGTGCAGACTGATGACTTTCCAAGGATAAACAATCTTCTACTTTAATCTGGTACAATGCTATCCCCTTTTTGTAGTTCAAAATCCTCAGGCATCTTTTCATACAGTATGATTAACGTCATGACAATCACATTTAATACACCCGACTGAACAGGCTTTGATCTAAGTCTGACTGTACGTCAAATGGATTCATAGGGATGTATAGCTCAGAATAATCATGTGAACCGGGCAACTTAGCCTAAATTATCATCAAGATGTTAAAGAAGGAAATTGGGAAATCCTGGGATTGCATCTGCCGTGTGGTCAACCACATCAAAGCCATATTAAAGTTTAATCTTCCAAGACTGTACTAACATGGATTGTTGGTTACAGAAACCTCCAGAAGTTGCTGCTATAAGAATGACCATTACTGTTGCAACATCGACTTATATTTATACAAGATCTTTAACTCAATGTAGTATCTGACTCTCTGAGGATCACTGTGAGACAAAGTCTGAAAAAGTAGAAGTATAATTAACAAGAAGAAACTGGCTAAGCACATGTTGGGGAAAAACAGAACTGAAGAAGCTATGCAGAAAGGGCAAGGCAATGGGTACTTGCTAAATTGTAGGAAGCTGG